TTAAGTTATTACTTATGGGATGTTTTTCCAGATACACTATCCCCTACCATCAATCACCGGTTCAGAAGGTTGAAATCTTTAAATGCTTTATCTGGGTTTGGTAACTTTTTAAAAATCTCATGCTGTTTTGAAGCAGATTTTATTTTTGGTGGGGGTCAACATTAAAAAACACTACAAGAGTGCAGGGAATAATACAGTAAACTAAGCTACTGTGTCTCCATCACCAAGTGTTGGTGCTTATTAACATGTCACCTCCTCAGAGAAGCTGTCCTTGAGTGTCTCACCTAACAGTCTCTGGTCACTCTCTAACCCCTTACCTGACATTATTTTAATTTTATTTTTGATAGTCCCATCCTGACATTATATACCATACTTCTTTTTCTTCTGTCTTGTTTAATAGAAGGTAATCCCCATGAGGTCAGGGACTGACTGCATCACCACAAGCTTCCCCAGCACAGAAAGGAGGGTCTGAGTTATACCAGACTCTGAAGAAACACTCATTGAGTGAATCATGCTATATTCAAGCGTGTCTTTTCAGTAAAAGTAAAAACAACAAATAAAACTACATTAGTTGCCTTTGTACCTTACTTCTAGTTTTATGCCTCCAACAAAGCAATCAGTTTATGATTTGATATGAAGCTTTATAGTACATTTTATACAAACAGCTGTCTGTGCGTATGTATATATGTGTGTGCATGAGGTAATAAATAAATCCATGAACAAGTACTGCTTTGTCTAAGTATTAAATTTCTTTACATAAATGAAACTGCTGTACATGTTACTCTTCAACTTACTTTTTTCTCTCAATCTTGTTTTTCAGATTTAATTATACTCTGTATTTCATTCCTTTTAACCACTGTTAACTAGTCATCTAAAAATATGCTATATTTTATTTGTCTTTTTCCCAAATGAAAGACATTCAGGTTATTTATAGTTTTTTACTAGAATAACAATTTTTCCTTGTTCACATCTTGTGGCAGATTCTGCATAAATGTTAGATTCCTTCTCCTTTCTTCTTTTGTTTTCAGAGCTAAGACTACATGGTCACTTTATTCTCTAGAGAAGAAGCACTTTGAGGAGTTTAATGTAGCTCCTAGATGCTATCATTTGTTTTGGTTTTCCAGAGGATAAATATCAGAATAATAAAAGAAATGAAGAGGTGTCAAGTTTTGTTTTTTTTATTTGAGGAAGATTAGCCCTGAGCTAACATCTGCTGCCAGTCCTCCTCTTTTTGCTGAGGAAGACGGGTCCTGAGCTAACATCCATGCTCATCTTCCTCTACTTTATACGTGGGACGCCTGCCACAGCATGGCTTGCAAAGTGGTGCCATGTTTGCAACCGGGATCTGAACCAGTGAACCCCGGGCCGCCAAAGCGGAACGTGTGCACTTAACCACTGCGCCACTGGGCTGGCCCCTCAAGTATCATTTTTAATCACTGGTCCTAATAAAGATTAATTATAATAACAGCTGGTCACCTGCCTGCACCTACATTGTATTCCATGATTATGGCAGGGGGCAATAAAGGTGGGAGTAACAGCGCTGGTAGAAAATGGTAGACTTAACCCATAAGTCTTCTAACACATTTTCACAACTAAAATTACTGTTATTTTCCCATCATCATCATCCATTACATCTGCTTTTGTTTATAATATTCTTTTACACATCGGAGCCTGTTTTACAGCAGGCTGCCTGAATCTCAGAAAGGCTAAGTTACTCTCTCAAGGTCTCCCATGGAGCCAGTAAGTGGCAGACCTGGGATTAGAACCCAGCTCTCCTATTCTGGCTCTGGCGGTTTTCACGGTGCTCCATGAAGTCCTAGAGGTCTGCAGAGGTACCCAGGGGTCCTAGCGGCCTGCTGTGGGAGGAATCCGAGAGGCTCAGCAGTGGTGGATAATGACAGTGATGACGATGAAGGTGACAACAGGAACTGGAACAAGGACACCTGAAACAGTTCTTCCCAAACCATCCATGCATCTCCTCCTCCAGCATTTAGTGTAGCAATATTCAGAGGCAGATGATTAATTAATAGCGCAATGAATCTTTGCTGAAGTCACTTAAACCCTCCCATTCACTTCACTAATCTGATCTTTATTTCCCTGAAAGACAAAACAAAACGGAGCATCTGGTAGAAAAAATTAACTTCATCAAATGCCTCTCCTTAAGGTGACACAACAAGGGAGGGGGAAGGACCTGTCCTTCACTAGATGCTGTGCTGGGCATCTTTCACTAATTAGCTCAAAAATCCAAAGAGTTTAAACTTATCTCTTTACTACATTTGACCTGTACACAAATAATTGGGTTTGAAAAAGGGTTTTGCTACTAAAACTCAAATTAAAGGAAGGATGTAGCCAATTCTGGCCTTCCACACAATGGCAGTTTGCAGCCTGCTCACTCGGTCTCTAGTAAGTGGGTAGGGGCTCTGGGTGACTTGTCCTCCTGGCCTCCGGCAGGTTCCTTCCCACTGGGTTAGGGGTGCGGCCAGACGTCAGAGGGTAGTGCTGCCCACCATGATCCCCCTTTTTCCGAAGAGCACCTGTAATCCACAATATTCCTGACACCTGGTTAACAGCACTGCCTTATTTCATTATTTAACATCCCACCCATGGACGCTTTTTCTCTTAACTAGTGTAGACTGTTAGCTCTCAGAGGGCAGGGGCTTATTTCGCATAGACACTGCCAAACCTCCATCCCCAGTGCTATACAAACAAAAGAAATACAACGGTTATCACTTGAATGTATTGAATAAACGAACAGGAAGATCTGAAGAAATGTTGGTCTTTTAATGGCTAAAAGCATTGGGGAGGGAGCCTCCTGCTCTTCCATTTCAGTGCCATGTGGAGCACACTACACTACGGCACGAGGCAAGCCCATAAAACAGGCCAAGAGAATCAAGATCTAGACCACGCAGTACATAAATTAAGAGATTCATTTATGTATATGGGCCAGGAAACTTATCCCTGCTCTTCCCAACCCCTCCACCTTAGTGGGTATCTCCTAAGACCATTTTTTGGTTTCTTATTTCTCTTTAATGGTTCCATAATTATGCTCAGCACCTCCCTGGGAAGAGGGGCCACTTGTGTGGAATTCTGTCCCTGTTGCTGGCACAGGGGAGGGTGTGGCTTGATAAACTTAAAAATGAGGAGATTTGAGGGGCTGGCCCCGTGGCCGAGTGGTTAAGTTCACGCACTCCGCTGCAGGTGGCCCAGTGTTTCGTCAGTTCAAATCCTGGGCGCGGACATGGCACGGCTCATCGAGCCACACTGAGGCGGCATCCCACATGCCACAACTAGAAGGACCCATAACTAAGAATATACAACTATGTACCGGGGGGTTTTGGGGAGAAAAAGGAAAAAAAATCTTTAAAAAAAATGAGGAGATTGAAAAGGTACTATTTATACTTGGACTATCATGACAGGGTGAAGAAATACGATAAACACAGAATTAGAAAAATGACTTAAAAACTAGCAATTTTCCAGTATTAAGGATGGAAAATCTAAGACAGAGGCATTTCATCCTAATGTGCTCGAATATGTGTTCAAAAGACCAAACCCCCTGAACAAGCCCATGGGGAATTTCTGGAATTTAATGTTGGGGGTTACGGTCTTAGTATTTCCTGCACCAGTCCAAGAGTGATCACTCCTCTCTCTCGTTTGTAAACTAAGGAGAGCTATACAAATCCCTTATGTAGACAAAGCCTTTAGTAGATCTGGCAAATGAGACATATTTTTAAAAAAACAGCACTTGGCAAAGTAACTTCTACATTGTACGCATCTGTTTTGCATCTGTTAGAATCTAAATTTCTTCAGAGAAGGGGCAATTTCATCCTAGCTCAAAATGGGCACTAATAAATATTATACTAAGTCACTGACATCATTGGCAAAATGGCTTTAATTAATGAAACAGGCTTCTAGATTAACTTCCGGTGAGGTCTTCTAGATATTTGCAGAGTATTTTGCAATATCTTTTCTCCTTAGTTATTCTTCATATGTTTTGTGATCTTTGCATAACGGAAAGTCACTTCAACATGCGGCCCAATGTAGATTCTGAATTTTGATTTTTTAAAGGATCATGCTGCTATTTGGAATGACAATTGATGTTTATAATGAGTCCCGTCACCTCTCTCTCTTTTTTTTTTAACCCCACGGTTGGCCTAAATATTTGTCCAGGACAGAGCTCCTGCCTAGCCCCCGTCAATTACTGCATGCTGTGTTTATTGTTTTGCCAATGTTTCACAGTAGCACACAACCAAAGAACATTTTGAACTTGTATTTTTGAAGAATCTGCAGCCACAAGCATAGAACACATCCCAAATAGGAGATGCTCTATTGCTGGAGAGATCTTACCATGCAGTCTTCAATGTTTATTTTTTTCCTGCTTCTCCTGCTTGCAAATATTTTATATTACTTTGCCACAGAAGAACAGCCACCTGACACCATTTCTAAAGTCTCCTGTAATGTGGGATGCTTTGTCAATAATGGTAAATACGGTGCAGAGTGGTTAAAAATCCATAAATCCCCAAATCACATACAACCCACTCATCTGGTGGTGAGCTGTCTCCATGGATACCAAGGGAGTAGCTTCAATTCTGGGGAACCCCCAGGGAGAGCAGACTCCCTCACCCCCTGGGACCAGGCAAAAAGCAGCAAAGGTCCTCGAGAACTTTACCTTTATAGACCCTGTTCACTGGAGACTAAGTCCCAGGCTGACTTCGGCTTTCTTCCACTTCCCCAAAAAGAAAATCTTCTGGCAAGGGTAAGGGGTGTGGGCAGCATGAGAGCTGGTTGGGATTTCTGAGACTGTTCAAACATTTTCCCCCTCAAAACTTCGATCTAATTACAGAATCAGATGTGAGTATATTTTTCCATTTTATGGCTGCATTTTTTATTTTTTTGCTGCAGAAGATTGGTCCTGAGCTAACATCCGTTGCCAATCTTCATCTATTTTCTATGTGGGCTACTGCCACAGCATAGCTTGATAAGCAGTGTGTAGGTCCATGCCCGGGATCCAAACCCATGAACCCTGGGCCACCGAAGTAGAACACACGAACTTAACCACTAGGCCATTGGGTCAGCCTCTACGGCTGTGTTTTTAGAGATAGGGTTTCTCTAAGAGGGGGGATGCATATTTAGCTGCCGAGAGAACCCTGGAAGTAGAAGATGAGCATATCATAAGCATAGACATACATCAGTGTAGAGGCAAAGACCCAGCAATATGCCTAAGAGGATAAAAACATTATTTGACTCTAAGAAATTCGCTATATCCTTTATGGGAGCTAAGTCACGGCTCCACATGTTCCATAACTGTAACTGCTCGCAAAGATAGAAAAATAAAAACAAAGAAAGATAGAGTTCCAACCATTAGCACCTCCTTTCAAGTATTCAGCTCCCCAAACATATTTTCTACGCTGTATCTTTCGTGGCAGATTACGCCGCTTTGCCGTTGCCAGCTAATTAGTGCTGTGTGGCAGATCTTAGCTGCCAGGAAGCCCATGGAACCATAAAATGTAACCTTGTTGCCTTACCCTTTTTCATTTAGCAGTTCATTTTATGACACTAAAGACCTCTTTGCTCAGTAAAATTATATATCTGAGAAAACCAATGGTGATTCTTTGCAAATTCATCTTTTACTCTACTGGATCAAGGATCTATTTTAGTGTCTCAGGTTGTTAAAGCATTTTCTCTAGAGAAAGCACTTCCTTCTACCAGATGATGCTTCTGGAGTTACTGCTTATGCTCAAGATGTAAGTGAATGCTTACACCACAGGGTGTAGGTCACATACCAGGTCCACAATGTTTCCTGAGCAAAGGAGCAATTATTCTAACAATAAAAAGACAGTGGCCTCTGCCCACCTAGCCATGTTGGCTGCCAGGATTAAACTCCATCAGGATCACAAACAAGGCAGGACTGAATAAAAATGGACTTGTATCCTCTATGGATTTTCTTTTGAGATTGGGATCCGTGTCACAGGGACCATGTATGCATGGATAGACAGTGTGGGGTCTATGAAGGATCTACCCAAGGACCAAACATGTAACATTGCACTCAAGTGTCCAGCTGGGAGATTCCCAAAGCTAAGGCAACAAGAAATAGGTGAAGTTAGTTGGGTTGAAGAGAATGTTCCAACTCCAGGGCCTCTGAATAAAATTACTATCAGGGATGCAGAGAAAATGTAAATGGCTGGTAGGGAGAAGACAACACTTAGGATGTGTGAGTCGTCTGGGGTCTGTTTCCCTTGGGCAGGCATCCTAGGGGCAGTGACACAAATTTTCAAACTCTGGTTTTAGAAAGAATTGGTAAGAATCTCAATTCTCAGCCCACCTGAAAATTGTGGTCTAGCAGACGTGGGGTGGGGCGCAGGGCTCTGCATTGCAATTACAGCCCCAGTGGGTATTCAGACCACACTCGAGAAACTCCAGTGTGTTGGAAAGAACGTGGACTTTGGAGGGGGTGACCGAGCTCTCACCCCAGCTGCCATTTACTCAAGGTGTGACTTCTGGTGAGGTTCCTTGACTGCTCTCCACTTCAGCATCTTATACATACAAGAGTGATAGTAATTGTAAAGGTTAAATAAAATATGTAAAGAAAGCTCTCTGCAAGATCCTTGGCACATGGTGTTTGCTTACTAGTGTCTGAGTTCCCTCTACCATTTCCTCTGTAGTTAACAAGAAAGAACGTTTTTTGAATGCTTGTTACAAACTAGGCACTTTTCTAAAGAGTTTTCATTACCTTTAACCCATGAGGTAACTGTTCTTACTACTTCCACTTTACAGAGGAGGAAAGGGAGGCACAGAGAGGTTGAGTAGTTTGCCTAAGGTTACACAGGCAGCGGGTGGCAGGGCTGGGCCTTGACTTAGCTCTCCTGCTGTGAACTTACATTATTTTCAGGGGTATGAATGAGGGACAGGAAATTTCAAGACCTCTCTCTGCTGTCTAATAAAGACCCACCCTTTACTTCCCAGCACCTTTACCATCTGTCATGTCCCCTGATGCCTCACCAGCTGAAGATGATACTCTCATTCAGAGTGAACACAGACACGTACAACTGTGAATTGGCTGTAAAGTGTATTGTTCTGTCGAGGGCACGGGTGCTAGGAATACATGGTACCTAAAATGAGGGGCTGCCTAACTGCTAGAGGCACATTTCCTTTTCCCAGATATTAGAGATCCTTTAGGTCCATCAAAGAAACAAAATGATACATAAATTTGTTTGGGGAGTGGTTCTCTCCCTGATGAGCCAAGTTAGAACTAGAGTTTCATTTCCAGCAGCAATAAATGGAGAATCACAAGCAGAAACTTCAATTATCCCGCTGAAAATGGTTAACTACTGTGACATGAAGTTGATGGCATGAGTCATATGTATGTGTGCACACATGTATGTCATATCAATGTACAGATGTGTATGTGTGTAAAATACTGCTTGAGGTATGTACACATGCTACATATGATGCAGGTTTGAACATGTGTATATGCATATGCGTTTGTGCGTATACGCAGGTACAGTGTTCTTGGCACACGTGCACACACACATGCTTCCACATATGCATGCCTGTGTGTACACACATGTATGTGTTTACTTACCCAACTGCAAGAATCTTCCTCAACTGCATAACAGGGAAGACATGCTTTTTAGTCCACTGTGTTCCCGCTTGAACTTTGATTTCCAAATCCAATTTTCTAATTAACTTCTTATTTAAATAACAGTTGCAGTATTATTATGGTATTATTTTTCCTTAAAAAATTCAGTCCACTGTTCTGGTTGCACAGCAGGAGTTTAAGTGCAGCCAATACTTTCTTGTGCTGACAGCTCTGATGAAGGCATAAGTCTTTATTTATATATACGAATGATTTGACAAAAAAATTTTGATGGAACTTTAGTCCGTAAATCTACTCGTTGTTCCTTCCTGCTGTGAACATTAGTTACGGGTGGGAGTATTAATTGTGGATGCTGTCACTTAACAGGCACACACACACATACAGTGGCACTGCATGATTTTACCAATAGGGATTATTTTCATAAGACCTAACAGGAAATTTGAAACAGTGATCTTCCCTTAGACACCAGTGCATGTGGAGGAAGTACTGCTGACCTGAACCTGTCCCTAGCTTTGGGGTCACGGAGCTGTGAACTGCAGAGGACATGCCTTGGCTCAATGGGCTGCCACGACTCAGGTCCTGCCAACTGCCGCCATGAAGGGAAAGAGGCCCAGGATTGCTGCTTCTTGCAACTTTTTCTAGCTAGAAATTCAGATTTGTATGTAAAACTTTACCATATTTAAGTGTTGGCTACTAGTTGAATGTATTTAGAAGCATTCTCAGGGCCAAACCCAACTCATCTGCAGGCATAAGGAGTCACATGTGACATCAGTTTGCTACCTCTGCCTAGAACAATTCCTGGGAATTCCTAGAGATTTAATTCCTAGTGGTTTTGGCTGATGAGCCAAGGCCCTGGGCATTGGTGGTGGTGTGTGCATGGACGTGGATGTGTACATGTGAGAGTGTAGGTACGCGTGTGTATGTGTGTGCATGTATGCATGCATGTGTGCGTGTAGGGAACCTGGCTTGATTCTCAGCCTGGTGTGCTGGTGTGTGCTCCACAGGAAGCCTCCAGAATGAGGAGGAAGGACAGTCTTCCTATCATCCTGGCATTCTCAGACTTACCCAGACCAAGTGGAATGTGACCTGACTGGTAATCACCACAGCTGTGTCCCAGATGGAACCATGAGGGAGAGTTTGGTGAAATCACTTAACCACAATATATTTTCTTTTCTCCAGAAGTTTCCCTGCAAATTCTTCCCCCAAAGGGCGGAAGGAAGTGCAGTAAGGACCACCACATAAGTGGTAAGTTAGGTACATCTGTATTTTAAAAGGTCTCCTAGCAGATTTTCTCTTTGGGGATGTGAGACTGAATTGCCACAAACTTGGAGGTTTCTATCAATGGGTACTCTTAAAATTTTTGCTCCAAACTGTTCCCTGAGGTTTAACTTACAAACACAAAAAGAACATCAAGACTTAGTAAATTTGAAATGAGTAATTTTTCCATGGGTATTCGTCTGTAGGTCTGTAAACTCAAAACGCTAAGATTATTGGTAAGGCCACTGTCTGTGGAGTATAACCAGTACAGAGCCACGTGTAGAAACACATAATTACGACTTTCTAGGAACTGACACTAATGGGTTGTTGACTGATGGATGGGCTGCCTAGTAGTGATGCTGCTAACCTGAGAGGTTTCTCTGTAAATGGTGTTATAAGGACAGCCATTATTTTATATGAGATCATGGTAATAAAGAGTGCAGTTTATAACTCAGTAGCACTCAAATGATCAATTAGTGAAAAAGATAAATAACTAGAAGCAAGCATGCAGTTCTGGCTCAGGAAGTAAAGTAATTACGGTAATTGAAGACGAGCAAGGTAATGTCAGTTTTCATCCCCACAGGCAGATGGTTTAGGATACAAGCTAGAGCTCTCAGGCCTTGGAATCTATCTGTGAAGGGGACTGTGTAGATATTTTTACAATATCAAGACATTTCAGTTGCACCAATGAGTACTTGGGACGTGTCAGTCCAATGTGTGTTCTCATGGGGAGGTGGTGTGTGGAGTGGGGAGAGAGATAACATTCATGATTTATTGAATGCCAGGCACTGAGCCAGCAGCTGCATAGACATCAATTGATTTCACCCTTACAATAAACCTGTGAGGTGGATTTTATTTGGACAATTTTAAAGACGAGGAAATTGAGGCCCAGGGAGGTTAAGTGAGTTGGCCACAGCTACTAAGTCAGTGTCCAGCCAGGACTTGAGCCCAGATCTGTCCAATGCCAAAGTCAGCCAGTTTCCCCCAGCCTATATTATCTCTCTGTAGGGTCACCTTCACTCATCATGGGTTAATATAAAATAATAAAAATAGTGCTGATGGTATAAAACAAAAATGAAGGGCTTCATTTAAGCTGCACTGGTTTCTGGGCTCTTGGTTTTATGATATTTCCCGGGCATCTGCAGAAATTGATGCACAGTCAGGCATTAGAGTCTTTCCCCATCACATTTCCCTTTGCTGTTGTTTCTGCCACTTCGTCTCTCTCCACTGCTTTTAATCCCCTGTTTCTGCTGTGGAGCACAATATCAATAATGATAAATAATAAATCATCAATCCATTTCTACAAGACATTAGTCTCCCTCTTTCCTCGTGATGGGGGACCAGGCTAGCCTTTGTGCTCCTGTCACATGGGAATAGGGTCACAGTGTTGTCCAGAGCAACTGGCTTCTAGGGAGGCTCATTTACTGGTGCCTCAGTTCAGTTTGAATATCCATGCAAGAATATATATATATTCTTTTCATTAGCAGACAAAGTGCAAATATATATTGCAACACAGTCTCTTCCATCTCCTAACTATTGCTATTGTTTGTTTCTTTTAAAATTCAGCATGTTCATTCATTCATTCAACTGATGTTTACTGTCTAACTGTATGCCACGAACTCTGCTGGATTTTGGAACATGAAGATGAAAAGCCAGAGTCCAAACCCTTTAAGGACCTATAAGTTTAGTGGGGTGATAGACAATTTCTTAAGAAATTGTAACAGAATTGAAAGGAGATAATTGCAGGTGAAGGGGCACCAGATTCTGCTTGGAGTAGCACAGAAGACATCTCAGAGAATACAGCAGATGAGATGTGCTTGAAGGGTACGCATGACTTGGAAGGTGGAGGAAGAGGCGTCAGGAACAGTGTGTCTGGAACCACTAGTGGCTTAGAAATGCTTCTGTGTAAAGTGTCAAGTGGGAGTGGTGTAAAATCTGGGAGAGATATGCAGAGGCCAAATGCTTCATGATTTGTTGAGATTAGTCAGCTTCAGATCTGAACTCAGAGGTGATAAAAATGTTTTGATCAAAATGGTGACAAAATCAGATTTCAACAGATGATTACCCAGGAAGCAAGATGAGGACAGACTGGAGGATGGTAAGACTAGAAACAGAGGGAGTGAAATGGCAAAAATCAAGGTTGGAGATGATAAGGTCTTGAATGATAGCAGTGGCAGAGAGAAATGGCACATGGAGACAGATTTAAAAGGCAGAATGAACACGGGTTGGTGACTGCCTTACTGTGGGGGGGCAATAGAGTGGAGTGAATATAGAGTAGCCCCAAGTTATCGGCTTGAGCACTGGGGAGTAATTTCACTATAAAAACTGAAGTCACTAGCTTATAAAGTAAGCCTCTGCATTAGTATATTGCATGTATAATACAAACATGCATGCAAAAAGGAAATAGTCTTAAAAGTTTGGTACTATACACATTTTCTGAAGTCAAGTATTCTGTGCAAGGCCAATATTTTCACTACAGGAAAAAGCACCTTTTTCTGGGGTAGGGGTGGATGCTAATACAAAATGTGTGTATACCGAGTGTAAATGTGTGTATATGTGATTCACATACACTGTGAATCCCGGAACTGGGGTCCAGTGAGAGGGGATTTCTTCTTCAATTTGGGACCAACAACTCTGAAAGTGGTACTTGTACCTTAGTACCTTTACTTGTAAAATGGAAGTAATACCAATTCCAAACAATGTCACAGAGTTTTGTTTTTTTACTACTTCCCTGAGAAAATGAGACAATATATGTGGTATTTACTATAAAAATAAAAAGCAGTATAAAAATGCAACATACATATGTATGTATAAACCTCGGGACTAAATAGCAAAGTGTATTCGCATACACGTAAGTACATAAACACAGCCTTCACACCTACACCACTATCTACTGAAGAAACACAGTGCTTTTTGCTAGTATTATTTGCTCATTGTCTAGCATCAGTATTAAAACATAATAAAGAAGAGCTGCTCTGCCTAGCATTTTGGTTTACATGACTTGCCACCACAGTTATTGTTAAAATCGACACTAAAGGCAGTATCAGAACCAGGTGGGGACTGTTTTAAGAGCCTCTGTGAGCAGAAGTCCATAACGTTCCGAGGACAGGGTCCACTGTGTGTCGGAATCCTAGAAGGAATCTGGGCTATGCTGTGCTGCTCTTCCAGCTGCCTACACCCACTGTCTTCTCAATCATTCATTTTATATGGAGCTGGGCAGATGCTACAGTCTCGTTGTGACCCTCTATAGTCTAAACAATGTGGCAGTAGGGAGAGAGCTCAGGGCAGAGTTCCTTGCTAGGTGGGCTTAGTGGTGCTGGAATAAAGGCAGGAAGGAGGGCTTGTAAGTGAGGATGCAAGAGCTTGATTGTACCTTTCCCAGTGAGACTGAGAAGGGTGCCAAGAGAGGGACTCTAACTTTAATCACAGAGTTATGGAACTGGAAAGGATCTCAGAAATCATCTGCCAGTACAGTGCCTTATTTGACAATTGAGGAAATGAAAGTGCAGAAGGGGTATGTGACTTGCCCAAGGTCACACAGCTAATTGGAGGCCACATCAGGACTCAGGCCCAAATTTCCTGCCTCTGGCTAGTGGTGTTTCCATTGTATCATCTTGCTTCATGTAGCTCCAGTAATGTTTTGGTAGTTATGCTGTTTTTTTTTTCTTTTTCTCTGAACCACTGAATTTCATTTCTGAAACATTTTGGCTTACAGAACCGAGACACTCAATTTTCAGAGCCAATTCTTATGTCATCCAAAAGGCATTTTTGGCTGTTCCTGTTTTCTTAATCTCTGAATGATGGGACTTCCCTATGATTTGCTTTAGAACTGAAATGCAAAGAGAAACATTATCTTATTGACACTGGATACTGCTCAAACTTTGAAAAAGTACTGACCCTCCAATTGTGCTTCCTGCCATCAGCTGTCACCTCCTGCTGAGCTCCATGTTCAGTGTGACAATGTCTGGTAAAATGCGGATCTGCTCAACAGCCCTTTCCTGAGCTCACTCTTGTAACAGCTGCTGAGCCTCAACACATACAAAAAGTGAGACAGCCTTGGGAGGAATTAATCAAACTGGAGATGGTGCTATCTGTGAGCAACTCAGAGCATCTGAGACAATCTCCCAGCAATGGATGGATTTAGTCTGCTGGCTGAGTTACTTCATTTCAGGAAGACAAGTCTCTTCCGAGTGGATGGTGTGTGTCATGCCCGGGCTGAGTGCTCCAAGCAGCAATATATCTGTAGTCTAAATTGATTAATTCCCTCACAGGCTGTTTGTGAATCTGGATCCTCAATACTCCCTTTCAGAGGCACCAGATGCACAAGAGAGGGAAAAAAACCCTGGGAGTCTGGCCCTGAGTGGGCTCTGTTGGTTTGGCAAGGGCTTTTCATTGGGGAGCAGCATTATCATGGTAAACCTGGTGGCTTGTGGATTGGATAGTTGCCACCTGAGTCACTTGATGTTCAAGGCACGTGCTTATGGGAAAGATTTTTGCTCTTCATAACAGCTGTCCATCTGTTGAAGCTATCACTGAGCTGGTGAGCTGAGGGCTCAGAAACAAGGGAGAGATGTTGTTCCAGGGACCTGGCACATTATGAGGCATGGGAAGGACTGTGGGAGCAGTGTCACAATCTGCAAATGCTCCCTTTTGTATAGAAGTAGTCCGCTATGGCTTAACTATTTCCTGAAGGGGAGACGACAGTGGGGTCTAAAATCTTAAAGGGTTGGCTGATTCTGTTGTCTGCCGCAATGGAATATGCTCACAAATCAAAGCAATTATCTTTCCAGGGCTAATGTGAATCTTATGGGCACCAAGGGAGATCATTCTCTGCTGGTTCCAGCCAGCATATTTATCCACAGTCAAGGGTAGCTGCTTTGCCATTTCAGGCTTTGATGCAAGCCAAAAAAGCAGACGTGGCTACTTACTCTCGTCCTCCCTCATAAACAGTGGAATGCTTTATCTAGATATGTTTATTTCTGGAGGTACCAGTATATTTTGCAGTCACATAAAACCTGGAAATTGCTGCTTTGCAGATGTAGCAAAGCGTCGTTGCACATTTGAAGCAGAAATGTGATGTTCGTGCCAACTCTCCCTTTTTCTCTCAGTTGTCTTGACTCAGAGGTTCAAAATCGGGTGCCCTGGGAAGGTCCTGAATACAAGCTCTTTTGTTTTCATGTCCAAGTTGTGGTTGGAGCAGGCCTAGGGGCATTTAAATCTTTTGAATATAAATGTTCTGACCACATCAATTGCTCCCTAAATAATAAATATAGAACTTGAAAATTACAAGAGTGGATGTCACTTCTGGCCTCATTTTAAGAGAATGTGATTTAGGAATGAAGAATCTCCAGAGAGGTTTATACTGAGTTCCTCAAAGAAGAGAAAACGGGTCACTTCAGACACTACACACAAGTCTCTGAATGAACGCTTTGGAAGTTTGTTCCATAATCAGTCCAGAGCATGGGTCCCTGGAGAGCTCCTGATGAGCGGAGCGATAGCTGTTAACAGCTTTTTTTCTGAAAAGGACTTTTTTCTGGGCTGCAGTTTCAGCTGTGTTTTAATAATTATTTTTGTCTCATGAGTGGATTTTGAAGAGTATGAGCATATTTTTTCTCAAAAAGGTTGACCTAGCTCTAGTTCTTTGAAAAAAGACCAAAGTTTAGTAGAGATATCAGCTAAGAATGTGGGCCTCCAGGGAAGGTCATCGAGACGTTCAGGAACTGAGTCTCTGGAACTCTCATGGGACTCTTCCTGCCTCAGTTTCCACTGAAGAGACGTGGACAGCAAAGAAGGATGAGACGGCATCTCCCACCTCCACCCGCTGCTCTTGCTCCCGCCCCACTGCCGGATATATAATGTTTATGAAGGGAAACCTGTTCTGTGATTCCTGACCCTATTACCCTTTTTGAGACAATAAAAAGGAGAAAGAGGAAGGTGGGGATATTGGTAAAGAGACTGACCGTGGATAAAGTACTGTCATGCTGAATGCCACTCCTACAGCAAAAAGTGTGGGGATGCTCTGCCACCCACGCCCAGTGAGGGGTTACTGCAAGAGAACCCCAAGGGGATTCCGAACTGTGTTTCCTGTAGGTGGGACTCGGAGAGAATTGAGTCAAGCCTTAGAAAAGCTGCAGCTGACTGTGGACGCAGGTCTCCTTCATGCCTGGCTGGAGTCTGGAAATAGGAGAAGGATGGCCTGTGAGGGGTAAGAGGCTGGAGACAGCTGCTGTACTGGAAAGGACTGTCAAGGCAGGGGATGTGTGAGTGTCCCAGAGGTGGCCACAAGGGAGAGCGAGCAGGAGCAGGACTGGGCTCAACTTGGGCCCTATCCAAAAGGACCTCTTGGAGGGTAGGGGCACTTCAGACGACAGAGGCTACAAGTGGAGGGCTGGATGCACAGGGGCTGCAGGCGGCCTTGTGTGTAAGCGACAGAGAGCCCTCTGTCCTGAGTCACAGGAATTATAAGGGAAAGGGCCCTGCAGAAAAACAATTCTTTTGTCTGTGTTTGGAACCTAACGGGACTCAGAACTGTCAGTTAATTAAGTGTGAGCAGAAAATTCCTGCTGGAATTTTCATCCAGGGGCAGGGGAATATTACAACCACTTAACACAGTTGTGGCAGTGCAGCAAAAAGAAAGATGCATTTTGAATACATCAAAACTCATGTTTGCTCAACACATTAGATGCACTATACTTCCCTCAAGGATCAGAGTTGACAGGAAGTTTCCCAGAGGAAACCCACCCCACATTTCACTTCAACTGGCCAAGTTTTAGCCTACATACTAATTCACGTGTACCGCTTCCTTCTGTCAAGTTTGAAGACCAGATCTCCTGGCCGAACACATTATGCCATGTGCTCCTCAGAATGTATTGGGGCAGATTTGAGATATCATGATTCCATCCATCTCCACATCCCTTTCCGGCCCCCAGCTCACCGGATCCCTCCACCCTCTACCCTATGGGCCCACTGTTGGTTCCTTCTAGTTTGAGGTGGAAGGGGTGGCAAGTGGGTAATGATCTAGAGGCAGGACCGGAGGCCTTGTGTAATGATTCAACAAAGGAAATGGATGGTGGTGTCAACAACTTCCTTCAAAAAGAAAGGGGAGGTTTCAGACCCTCTTGAGAAGATGGAGAGTGGCACTGTATGTTTTTGTGAAGGAGTAACAGAATCTTCTTTTGTCTCTTTCTCTAGCTCCTGTCTGGAGTCTCTGAACACAAAAGACTGTTTGTTTAGCTGTATTTTCCTTTGGTCCCGAGGAACTTTTTTCCCTGCTGAAGCAAATCCAACCATCTGCAGCCCGGGCTTGGGGAGCCAGGAGACAAAGTGTATTTTTGGTGCAGTCAAGCATGCAGATAACAACTCGTGAGGGACACTTGGACATTCTTACAAATGACCCCTCGCATGGAGGTGGAAGGCAAACACTGTGTGATTTGAGACTGCCAAGCGAGGTTATAAAAGGTGGAATGTCAGAAACATTAAAGATATGCAGACAAGAACGTCTTTCTCTCCAAATGTCAGACTTGCAACAAGTTTGGAGTTCCTTTGCTTTGTAAATGCTTTTCCTTTTTTTTTCCTCCTGGGAGCTGAAGATGATCCTTCAATGCCAGATTTTTCCATCTCCACTCTACAGGCAATCTGTTCTGCACCTTCCCCTTGAGTGCTGAAATGACTTTTATGTGCATTGGATCAACCATACACCAACATTATTTGACGGGAAAGAAAGAAGAGAGGTAGAGATGAGAATGCAAATAGGAATGAACAAATTTTTGATTTTTCAGAGATTTAGAAAAAACGAAAGAAAAGAATAAATAAAAAAATGAGAAGGGAGCGAGCAACTGTGTTCATTTTCTCCCCTTGTTCATCCTCTGAGCATAAGGAAGCTAAGTATGGGGCTCTGGAGAAAGACGGTCCTTTGAATTCCAGCACCACCTGTCACTAGCTTATGACCCTGGGTCAGTTACTTTTTTTTTTTGAGGAAGATTAGCCCTGAGCTAACTACTGCCAATCCTCCTCTCTCTTTTTGCTGAGGAAGACTGGTGCTGAGCTAACAACCATGCTCATCTTCCTCTACTTTATATGTGGGATGCCTACCACAGCATGGCTTTTGCCAAGCAGTGCCATGTCTGCACCTGGGATCTGAACCGGTGAACCCTGGGCCGCCAAGAAGTGGAACATGCAAACTTAACCACTGTGCCACTGGGCCGGACCCTGGGTCAGTTACTTTAATCTCTCTCTGCCTCTGTTTCTGCATCAGTAAAATGAGGATAAAAATAATATTTACCTCAGAGGGTTGTTGTGAGCTAATATATGTAAATGGCATAAAAAGGTGCCTGGTATATACTTGATACTATGTATTGGTTAACTATTATTATTTCCTCATTTTCTAGTAATTGTCTAGGTCTGTAGAGATGTGAGGCAGGAAAGGATAATGTAAAGAAAAGTCAGGTCCAACCTCCACTGGGTTATTTGTGATTTGTAGCAATATTGTATCCCAATGACACTTATTTCTCCATCCACATTCTTTTAGACGGCATCATCGAGTTGGTTACAATAACGTTGATGAGAACTTGAATCTTTCTCTTATTTATTCACGCATCTGTATTTGTTCATTTATTGATTATTTGAGTTAGGGCACTAGGCAATTTACAAACCTGTAGAGAGCAGAGAATTTTCCCCTTAAGGCATCTACAGCCATTTGGTTAATGGCATAAACCATTAACATCTAATCAGAATGATTATGTTCGGAATATTCTGTTAAATCCCAATAAATAAAGCTAATCAGAATTCAGAGGTCTAGGAAAAATATTTTGTGAGAAAAATTCAGTTTCTGTACTAAGAGACTGATATCTCTAGCCATATTCATACATGCCATCAGTCTTCAGACTACAGCTGTGGTCTCATGCCTCCCGCCTCTTCATCTTTATCAATATCTTCTTTTGAAATTACCTGGCATTTTCCCTTCTGTTGTAAACAGAAGCCCCTGCTTTGAGCTCCAACTGAACCCTTTCACTCAAGTCCTTCAGTAAACATCCCCATGACGCCTGCTATGACCTAAACACTCTGTCTATTTTAGGCAAAAAACAGTTTAGGGATTGTGAATTATATGGATACAGACCATAATTTTCTATTTCATTTTTAGATACATATATATATTTTCTTGGTGAGGAAGATTGGTCTTGAGCTAACATCTGTTGCCAATCTTCCTCTTTTTTGCTTGAGGAAGATTGTCACTGAGCTAATATCCATGCCAGTCTTCCTCTATTTTATGTGGGATGCCACCACAGTGTGGCTTGACGAGTGGTGCTATGTCTGCACCTGGGATCTGAACCTGCAAACCCTGGGACACTGAGGTGGAGCATGTGAACTTAACCACTATGCCACGGAGCAGGCCCCAAAAGCTATTATTAAAATGAACTTTACCCATTTACTTTTTTTTTAGTGTGGGTATAGAAAATTTTAAATTACATATGTGGCTTGCATTATATTAACATTAGACATAGACAGTACCACCCTAGACCTTTAAAACAAAGGGGTGGAAATCTATCTTTAAGGACTTTTAATGTCTAACGGTCAAAGTTTGAATATTGAGGTCCTTATGCCTCTGAAAGTCAAATTTTCAAAGTTAAAACTCTTACCTACCCAAAACTAATAAACCTGGCGCTGACAGACACTTACCTTACCAGCAAGTTCCACTTGAAGCTACTTTGTCGAGGTCCTATGAAAGTTCTATTGTTGCAATACTCAACTTCCAACCCCTATGGTATTGTTTCAACTATATCATAGAGGATTATCAGGAAATATACCAAAATGTTAAGATTGATTACTTCTAGAAGTGGGGTACTGAGCGATTTTTGAATTTTTTAATTCTTTTCTTCATCTTTCAATCTTTCAACAATGAGGACTGTTGTTTCATCATGAGAAAAATGCATATCTTTGAATTTCAGCATGAATAACTTTATAAATTCTATAACACAAATATGTAAAAAAAAAAAAAAAAGGAGGCCAACTTAAAAGGAAATATCCCAAAATGGTTTAATCTGCTTGTCTATATTTCCAAATTTTCTATAGTGAATAGGTTATGTGTATCAAGGGAAAAAATATACCTTAGTTAAAAATTGCAATATCCACCCACCCTTTGAACCTTCAACCTAAATTAATTTGTAGGCTGATTTTCTTAGAATTTTTGAAGCTTTTATCTCTACTGTATTAGACTGAAGAGAAGATGCTTTAGGATTTAGCTTCAATTTTGATGCCAATTTTAATATTTTTATTAAATTTTTTTAGTAACAATTTATTAATCAGTTTATTTAATAACAGCTATTTTAATATTTTTATAGCCACCATCAAACAGGACAGTATTTAGTTAGAGTCTATGCAGGAGAAGGCAGAGAACCCCAAAAGATATATTAATGTGCCAGTGTCAGGAGTTTAGGTTGTACTGCAAAGATGCCCATCCAAATGGGTGCCATTTACAGCCGAGACCTGCAGAAACAATGAGAGCACCCTCCTGCATGCAGCCCAGACCAGCTCACCCAGCCATGCACACACTCAAGAGGGCTCAAGGGCGTGCACGCACACACATGCACATGCAGGCACACACACACAGCACAGTGAGTGGCTTTGGACCCTATTCCCCTCCCGCTGAGAATACCTTGCAGTTGCTTTTCTCAGCTGCCCTCCCCTCTCAGAGGCCAAACCCACCACCTTACCCCCATCAAGTACCACGGGGTACCTGCAGTGCTGTGGCGGGTGTACCCCAGTCTCTGTGTGGGCAGGCAAGACAGAGCCAGGTCTGCTGGCTGCCCTGCTGGCTCTGGAAAGAGTTGGGCTTCTAAAGGCCTGTCAGGTATGACTGTTTAGCCTGGCAGTGTTAGACTCATTTAATTTCTTTTCTTCTTGAGGAAAAGTGTCTTTTTCCAATTGCCACGAGGCAACAGCCCTTTAGACTATGGCACTTAAAAGCTCAGCAGAACTTACTGTTGGTAGTATAGATGACTTCTCCCTCCTGTGGGGTGGAATCTGTATCCTGGACCACCTGCAAGGCTCCCACAGTCCGGACAGCAGGGTCCAAAGTGACCGAACTTTCATTTACGGTTGTGTCGCTGGCGCCTGTGATCTGGTTGGTTGGCGGACCTCCCAGAGATCCCTCGAAGTCGGTGGGCAAGTCGTCCATGCAGTCAGCATTGGGCTGCCAGAAGTAGAAAAGGATCTATTCTTAGTGTATGTCATCAAGTTAGAGATGAAGTGTCTACAGCCTAAATATTTTGTCTTGATGGAAAACCAAGTTATTTACTGTTTTCTTTCTGAACCACTTTATTTAAAAATATTCCACATGTAGTTTCTGTAATTAACATGAAAACATCTCCCCAAATTTTCTTTCCAAAGGTTCTGTTTCGATCTAATCCACAGTTTTAATTCCAGGAATAGCAATATCCAAATGTTAATATAATTACTCAAGGGGAATAACATTTATTTATAATGATAGTCCTTCCTTATATATAATGTCTACACCGCATATAGGAAGTAGTTGACAGCCTGATAATTATCCCCAAAGACCCATGCATTGTTTGCAAATACAGCGATGACATGAGATGTGGATAGAATCTGACTCATTGTGAACTGTTAATCAGAGATATACACATACACACAAACCCACATACACACAAGCACAGAATGAGGCTATTTAGTTGTTGTTAAACATAAGCCAGAAAAAAACAGCTGTAGAAGAAAGCCCTATTTACCTAACATGCAATTGATCACACAGTTGTCAACTCCTCTAAATTAAAAGCTTAGAATCATAAAACTAGGGTGAGACAATCTAGTTTAATTATCCACTCGTTGCAAGACTCTTTCCCTTCGATATCCCTGACAGCTCCATTTGAACAACATAGAAATGGGAGCTCTTTGCTTTGCAAGGCAGCCTGTGTTGACCAGCTTTGGTAGACTATTCTATCGTTGGCCAGTTTTGCAAGTTTTACTCTTTGTCTTAGTTCTGCTGTTTGAAGTGATACTGAATATATTTATACCTCTTCCACAAACAACTTTTAAAATGACTTTTAGTTGTTATGCCTCTGCCCAAACTCATAAAAATTATTTTTAAAAGTTGGCGGTAGAGAGATATGGTCTTGAGAAATACTCAAAATAGATATTAAATATTTTTGCTCGGGTCTGAACATCAACATTGCCTTGAGTGATAACAATTACTACATGGTTTTGTACTCCCAAGGGATAAGGAGGAGGATGGGGAGGATTAGATGAAGAGAATTTGGGCTGACACTGATTAACATCACAACGGCTAAAAAGTTCAAAGTTCACTAAAAGAGAGACTCTATAACTCGTGGACTCATTGGGATCGCAAAGCAAGAAATCCAAAGAGCTGGACTCGTGTCCTGGCTTTTCTGCTCTTAAACCAGTCTCCTGAGCTCCACACCTGTATTTGGAAATCTCCATCATCCCACAAATCCTCAAATTCAGCTCATTTCCTTTTCTCTGTATTGCTTCTTCTTTTGCCTTCTCTTTCTCTATAGGAAGAGTGCCAATTCATTGAAACTCAAGCTGTCAAAAGTCAATTCACTGAATGACCGATCCACCAAATTTACTGATTGTGATACTGGACATGAGCAGATGTGTTACTAACATTTCTCTCCCCATTACCAGACTCCCTTCAGTTTCTTCCCCCGTAATATTCCATTCTCTACTTTCTCACCAGAGCATTCTTTTGTCAAAACACAGGTATGATTCTCCTTTTCTCCTAAAGGACAAATTACAATCTCCTTAGCATAGCAAAACTGACACTCTACAGCCTCGCCCCAGCCGACTCTTTTGGCCTCACCTCGGCCTTTGGAAACACACAGAATACACCATCTATTCCCTATCTTAGTGCTTTAGCTTATGCTGTTTGCCTGCTCGGGATGACATTTGTCCCAATCATCCCTATCACCTTTCCCATCCCAGGTTCTCAATCCAACTCTGGTGAACTCCTAAGCACCCCACAATTCCCAAGCCAGATGTCACCTTTTCTAAGTAGCGGTCCCTCCCTGGTGGTCATCTTTGATACTCTAATACTTTATTTGTGCTTCTCCAGCTCTGTTATGGTTATTACTATTTGTCTCACTCTACTAGTCCACAAGCTTTTTTTTCTTTCCAGTTTTACTGAGAAATAATTGACATGCAAAATTATATTAATTTAAGGTATACAACATAATGGTTTGATATATGTGTATACTGCACATTAGTTAACATCCATCACTTAACATAATTACAATTTTTTTTCTTGATAAGAACTTGAAGATCTAATCTCTTGGCAATTCAAATATATAATTCAGTATTGTTAACTATACTTACCATGCTGTACATTACACCACCAGGACTTGCTTATCTTATAATTGGAATTTTGTACCTTTTGACCCCCTTCACCCATTTTGTCCACCCCCAGCCTCCGCCTCTGGCAACCACCAATCTGTTCTCTGTTTCTCTGAGTTCAGTTTTAGATCCCACATATAAGTGAGACACGAGCTTTGTAAAGTGAAGCAACTACAGTCTATTGATCTTGAATTCCAAGCCCTCACACAGTACGTGACAATTATTAGGTGCTCAGTAAGTGTTGATATGAAAATTTCTATCTGAGTCTCAGTTTACTGCTTTGAAAACTTAGGAATGTTAGTATCTTCCCTAGACCAATTAAGGGAGGATTTGAGAAAACACTTTAAAAACTGTCAAGTTCTGTGCAAAGGTAAGGCATGCTATTCAAGGGTGGCAGAATATGCCACCCCAAAATATGCTACATTGGCATAAGGATTATTTGGAGCTGAAGACAACTGAGAAGAAGCAGATAAAGAAATGCTCTCTGCCCTCTTCTATTGGCCTAAAAGCAGGATATAAATTTGTAAAGGTCTCCCCCACTGCTTGTCCGAGGAAAAGGAGAACATTTTTATAACCAGAGACTGCAAGTTGATGCCGAAATGGATCCGTGCAAACAAACCTTACTAACATGCCCTTATCTGCCATTAGTTCCCCCCATATGCTTATCTTCCCATAATTTGCTGCCCTAGGAACTCCAAGCCCTTTTCTCCTCTCTTGACACTCTCTAAAACTTTATTGGTCTTTTCTTAAGATGCTATATAAGCCCAAGTCCTGACCACTCCTTTGAGTTACTCATTGTGAAGTGCTCCCATGTATATGTGCGATGCATGTGTTAATAAACTCCTGTTCGATTTTCTTTTGGTAATCTGTCTTTTATGAGTTTAATGTACAGGGCTCCAGCTGGACAACCCATGAAAGTAGAAGGAAAAATAATTTTTTTTCCCTCCTCTACACGATGTGAAGATGCTTATAAGCAAAACCAATTGCGTGTGAGCTATCAGGGGGAAGATTTCACAACGAGGATACTGTACTGCTTGTTCTTTCAGCCATAAGCATCTGAGCGCAATCAGAGATGCACTAATGATGGACACTTTTCCAAGTGTTAACTTTGCTTGTTGATATTGTTCCTTTCTTTCTTTTCTTTTTAAAAAAAGTATTTTATTAGTTTTGATGCAGGGTGTTTGCTTTTACTTTGCAGACTAGTAGGAACAGTATTCTATCTTTAACAGAGAGGGAAAGAGAAAGAACTATTAAGCTCAGGGAGACTGTGAATGGTAGCAGGAATGAATAATTTGGTTTAGATAGGATATTTAATAGACCATCCTTACAGAACCTCACAGTTTACATCCACTCTAAATAGTTCATCAAATAGAACAATATTTTGAAAAGAAACCCAATTTATATACCTCTAAGAGAAATTATAGTCATAATGTTTAGTAAAAGATGTCAAATATCATCTGCAAGTGCACACAGTATAGGTATTCAAATTCAAGTTAGCATGGGGAAGGTCCTCAAAAAAATCCAACCGCTAAATAGTTAGGGACTTGTGAATATACTAGTTACACTGGATATTCTATGCAATAACAATCATCCTATTCATACTAGGATAAGAGCGACAGGAGCAGGTGTTTGCTGGGATATGAAAGGCCCCAGTCACATGGTGCCTTATAGGAGTACTCACTGAAACCTGTGTTCTGTCATCCTACAAAGAAACGTCTAGACTTGACTGCAGAGAAACAGGGTGAAGCACTGTAATGGAGATAAAGGGATGAAAACACTTCTGACAATAAAGGACTTTTTTCTCCCCTTTTAGTTCAGGATTTTATTTCTCTTGGCAAAATATAATGAAAAAAGATCCCACTGTATTGGGAATTTCATGATCCGTGAGCTGTGCTCTCATTCTTTAGCTCATTTTAGAGAAATCCACTTACAAAATGAAAACGTCCCCAGCTCTTAGCTTTCAACTTATATTTATTTGCCTTATAGCACAGGCAAGCACAAGGACACTCAGTTAAAAACAACAAAAACAAACAGAAAAACCTCACCACCTGTATTTGGACAATCTAGTGGATCAGGATTACCACTAAGTCGCTGGTGAGTGGACGCTGTTCAAAGGAGGATCAGGGTGAATTTCATAAATAGGATTCTGTGACCGCAGCCTTCAGCCTCTGAAGGCCTACAATGCCACCGACATTTATTGAGCACTTAGCGTGAGTAAGGGATATACACATAAGGACCAACAGGCACCAATTATCAGAGAGATTGACAGGCTCTTTTCAATTTTCTTTGATTAAGAAGAAATGGAATACGAGGAGTTTAGGAAAATTGTAAAATAATTTCTTTATGCTACACAAAAAAGGTCTCAGCTAGCTAGAGAAGTGTTTTGTAGTTGAGAAGCTGTGAGCTTGTCCAATGACATGGAAAGTTCTAAGAATGGAGTGAAGACTTCATCTCTCTGGTGTAATTTAGGCATGGTGCTACCCCACAGCAAAGGATGGAGTAGAAGAACATTCCATTCCTCTCAGATCCAGCCTTGAGTATCATACTCTAGGACAAAGCCAGAAAAGCCCCAGGAAGGGATGGAGGGTAGCCATATGCCTTGGTGCTTCGTGAGAAGTAGCCCCCTCCGTATGCCTTCTCCTTTACAGAGGACGTTCTGTTCTCTGGGGTGAGCTTGGATGTATGTCATGTTCCTGTTTGGCTGGCCCTTAAGAATCCTTGACAAAATCCAGAAGATGCTACTGATGTTTATTTTTCTGGAAGTCAAGTGTGCTAAATAAAATCTTATCCAGACATAGTAGGCATCAATCCACGGCCAGAATGCCCAACTGCTAAAAGTCAGAATATTATTGGTTTTGGAAATAAATCAAAAGGCCACCCAATAATTCTATTTTAAAAACAATTAACAGCTGTATTCTCAACTCATTTACAACTAGCTTCTGGAGAAGTTATACCTCCCCAGGGAAAGTCTGGAGTCAAGTGCTATTAGGACAAAATTTAACCACTGGGGGTGGTTTGGTTTCATTGTCTTGACCAAGAAGCACCGGGATCGACACTTAGGAGCTTTGAAAATATCCTGAGCAATAGGAACTAGGTGAGATGATGTGACTGCCTACTTTTGAGTATTTTAAAGATTTTGGAGACCAAAGACACACATACACACATGCAGGCACACAAGTACATACATTTCCCCTTTCCCTTGTAAGAACCAATTACAGCCAGAAATGTGCAAAGTGCAAACAGTGAGTTCAATTTCCTAAGTCACCAGTATCTGGTAGAGATGTTGGGTCTTTACTAATGTTTCATGTTCACTGCAGTTGATTTTCACCTTGAATGCATCATGCATTTACAAGTCTGGTCTGAAAATTTAATGCATTGCCTTTCAAATCTAGCTCAGAGCTCTGCGTTGTCACACCAGTTGATCTGTGTTTTGTGTATCAACTGTGAAAATCAGCATACAGCTGGCATGGAGACAGCTGGTAAGGGTAGGTAATTCAGCCAATGCATGACCTTATAATGCTTCAGGTGTGCCCTCTCCAACAGAAACACTCTGATAGTCCTAGGACAATTAGCCTTTTGGCATTAAAGAAAACCTTTGATATCTGATCTGATCCTTCCTTCTTCAGTGACATCTTGGGATTATTAACATTCTCTTTACTCTCTGCCATTAGTAGCGAGGAGTGACAACAGGGAGGCTGCAACAAAGTGGTGGGGGAAGGAGAGAGGCTGCTCTCTGGATCCTCTTTGTCTAGCTTCTTTTAGACAGCGCCTGTGTTTTTCTCACATCTCTCTGTGTAGCCCTTGGATTCAGTGGCCTGGCTTACTTCCTGCCCTCCCCACAGCAGCTGGTGTCACACCAGCCACCAGTTTGTAGGCTTCACTTGATATGGTCCTGGGAAAGTCTTCCTGGGGCATCAAGCCAGACAGCTGGTGGGATTCTCTCTGCACTGGGGAAGAGACTAAATTTTATAAAACATATAACTAAGGGTATCAGCTTGATGGAAGCGCTAGAATTAAGTGGCTCTGGCTCTGGTTTCCCGCTCACTCAAGTTTTCCACAGAGATCTGAGTGCAGCAGAGGCTCTGAGCCAGATTCCCAGCAACTATCTTTCCCTCCCATTGTTGGGAAAAGCTCCTTTCCTCTGAGAGCTCGGTGATTTGGGGGCAACATCAGAAAGTGTGGCATGCACATCTCCTTGATGACAGTGCAGGGGTAATGACACGAGAGGTATCAATGTTGGTCAGAGGTAAACCACTGGTTGGTCAGGCCTCTGCTAGAGTCCCACCTGTACTCACAATCTGCAGCCCAGATGAGAAGCCCACGAGCTGCATAAGCAGCATGTCAACTCACAGACAAATAAAATGGATATGGTGAGAGGGTTATGATGTTCTCAGATTGAGAAAAAGTGAGAGAAGTGTTTTCAGACATGGGAATTCTCTTGGGGCCTCTTCAGATAACACCATTGCTTTGGGGTTGAGGGGACACAGAAAATCCAGGGTTGATGTTTTCTTCCTCCTTTGTGAGTAATGCAGAAAGACAGACATTACGATGCTGTAGGCTGTGCTGTGCTTACCGGGATCCCTAGGGCTTTAAGAATGTTCATCTTGCACATGGGACAGGTGCGATGATCTAGAAGCCAGGGGTCAACACAGGACTTGTGGAAAAGATGCCTGCAATGAGAACCATACATCTTAGAGCGGCGGTAACTGCAGAGACTACCTAGTCTACTACAGCCCAGAGACTTGTCCGAGGTCACTTGACTGCTCAATGGCAGAGCCGAGACTTGAACCTCTATCTCCTAACCTCCTGGGCCAACTTCCTGTTATACCCTGTGGTGATGTCAAAATTTGTCTGTATCCCAGGAGTGTCCTATAGGATACATAACTGAGTCTTCCAAGCTTCAGAAAATGGAGAGAATGTAGAAACTGGGAGATTTTTCTCTTTTCCAATAGGAAGAATGTTTAATGGAAAGAATGCAAGTAGAGACACCTGTATAGACTTTTCAGGATAACTTGACAGAAGCTACTTGTAAATAAATCCCAAGTGTCTTTTCCCACAGTCAGAAGACAACTGCAAAGTAAAGACTCATTTCCATTAATACTTGGGGGTCTAACACAAAAGGGCAGAAGAACTCCTGGAAGCATTTAACACTACAAATGACATTTTAAGTTGTTACGGCCGGAAGGTTGTCAAATCAGAAGCCAAGTGAAAGGTACTGTATCCTTTTCTGATGTGCTCCACTCTACTGCCATGCTCAAGTGCCAGCCATTAGGAGCCTTCATCTGAGGGGCAGGAGGAGGGGCCCATTTAGAAGGTGTAGGATGCCTCCTAACCGAACTTTCTCTCAAGTTGGCTCGCAAGATCCCCTTCAGTGGTATCAGGGAGTCAGAAGCTTTTCTTCTCACTCACAAGACTCCATACCACATGCAGAAGCAGCCAGAATTTCCTGCCTGGGGCAAGAAGAGAGAGAACTGTCTGTCTTCAGTATGAAGCCTTCTTTAGGACATTCCATCCATGCCTGACTCCTGCACTATTCCTGGAAAACTTCCACTCCCCTCTCACACTTTCGTCTTCTTTTGTTCTAACAGTTATCTTTGTCTTAGAGGGCTTTAGTCTCAAATGCTGAAAAAGGACCCCCAAATCAGAGAAGGGTACGGGAAGTGCCACCTTTTAAACTGAAATTGAAAAGAACTCATGTGCCAAGGATGGATTAGCTGTAAACAGGGTATGACCAGATCGGGGATTAGAAAAAGGAGAGGAGAAACCTGGGTGTGTCGTTATGTTTCCAGATTATGGTTTGGAAAGCCTGCAGATTTACTGCTTGGAAAGCATATATCGCATTCATTCATTCCTTCATCCACACATTCATCCAACAAGTAGTATATGCCAAAAGAATCCTGCTCGACACTGGGAATGAGCATGATAGTGAGTTGGCTCCTTCCTTAGGGAGTATAACAGGAGAGGTAGACATTAATAAAATAATATAAATAAACTACTTAATGTCAACAGTGCTAAGTACCACGTTAGAAGAACAGGGAGCTTGAGGGGGCTTGTAACTGGCAGATTTATCCTAGTTTGGGTACGCAGGGAAGGTTTCCCTGACGAAGTGCCAAAACTAAGGCCTGAGGGCTCCACAGACATTATCCACATGAAGGGGAGAGGAGAATAAGAAGGGTATTCTAGGCACAACGACTGGCTCGTACAAAAGCCCTCAGCTGAGCAGAAAGAAGGCCAGTCCCAGGGCAGCAGGCGGTGTGAAGGAGAGGCTGACAATGGATGAAGCCACCTCCTGCCGCTGCCAAAAGCAACATGGACCTCCCCATGCTCAGGCTCTACCCTCAGGAAACAAGTTCCTCATTTGAACTTGCTCACCAACTGGTATTCCTCCTGGGAAGGGAGTCAAATATTCGGGTCCCTTTGACCGTTCCTGGGAGGGAGGCCTCTGTTGTATTTCCTGCACATACGCTGGAGTCAGAATGACAGTAGACCCAACCATTAGCTGTTTTAGCTTAAATAAGTCACTTGATAGCCCCAAGTCTCAGTTGCCTCATCTGTAAGATGCAGCTGTTATCTACTCACGCAGATATGCCTTGCCTGAGTCTCCAACCCACAGAAGCCAGCGGTTAGTCACTAACACCCCCAGTTATTTCTATGCGCTGGTCATTCTGACATCTCCTCTATGATGGTTAATTTTATGTGTCAACTTGGCTAGGCTATAGCACCTAGTTATTCAATCAAACAGTAATCTAGGGGTATTTTGTAGAGGTAGTTAATATCTACAATCAGTTGACTTTAAATAAAGGAAATTATCCTAAATAATCTGGATGGGCCTTATCCAATCAGCTGAAAGACCTTCAGAGCAAACCAGGGATTTCACGGAGGAAGAAGAAATTCTACCTCAAGACAGCAGCATCAGCTCCTGCTCAGTTTCCAGCCTGTAAGCCTGCTCTACAGGTTTCAGTATTGCCAGCCCCTATAATCACATAAGCCAATTTCTTGAAAAATTGATGGCTTGAAAAATATATACATATACTTATATATATATATATATATATATATATATATATAAATAGTGGGATGCATATATCCACTGGTTCTGTTTCTCTGGAGAACCCTGACTGATACCTCCTCCATTAGAATATAAGCTCCATGAAAGCAAAATCCTTGTTTGCCTAATTCACTGTTTGTATCCTATCACCTACTACAGTCCCTGGCACACAGATGATGCTCAAGAAATATCAGCTACATGAATGGAGAGTCATCAAATGACCTATACCCCTGACTGCCTGCACGTGGTCAAATCCCACAGACTCACTCTTTCTAAGTCTCTTTCACATTCATAGCTTCTTTTCATCTCCCAATGCCACCCCCTCATTCATACTCTCGTTAATTTTTTTTCTGTATTACTGTAATAACATCTAACTTCTCTCCAGCTACCAGTCTTTTCCTGTGCTTTTCATCCCACTCATCCTTGCCATATTTATCTTCCTAAAATAAAGTACTAGTTACGTCACCCCTTGTTCCATTCTGTTCTGTGCTAGGAGCTGGGTACAAAGATGAATAAGACAAGGTCCCTCTCTTCCAGGCAGTACCATAGTTCAGTCGTTCCTTGTGAAGGACAACGTAAAGGCCACTGAAAGGCCACACTCATGGATCCATCGTTTTCCAGCTGTTTGATCTTAGGCAAGTCTCAGTTTTCCAAGATTCAGTTCTTTATCTGTGAAATTTCATCTTTGCTAGTGAATGAGTCTGTGTGTGTGTGTGTGTGTGTGTGTGTGTGTGTGACTGAGAAAGAGAAAGAGAGAGAGAGAGACAGAATAAATAATGCCTACAGTTTAAGACATAAGCACTGGCCCTCCTTAATTATAAGCTACCACTAATTTTATTAACACCACTGTATTGCATCTTGGTTTTTTTGATGCAGGTTACTACTCTCATTTCTACTCTTTAGAATAACCTTTCTAATGTTGAAAGCAAAAAACTGCAAATTTAAAAAAATCAAAGGAAGAACTAAGGGCAAAAAAAAAAATAAAGTGTTGAAATGACATGTAGGGTGATCATGCCGATGATTAACTAACATTGATTCATTTCCAGCACCATGTTTCTTGTGCTGATCATCGAACATGAAGACTATATCCATATAATTAGGATTGCGAAACAATTTTTCTCCTCCCAAATGGAAAGAAAAATAAAAGTCACTAGACTAAATAAATAAAGGAGTAGGGAAAAAATCTGGAGTTTAGTAAACATCTCTAAGGCAGAGTCAGTCTCAACGTATCCCATTTGTACAATTTGCGGCACAGCACTGTCCCTCCACGAGTTTGAAAAAAGGCTGCATGAGAAAGCACATCCAGATGAACAAGAGGACAACATCTCTCTCCTCACAAGCCTGGCAAGCTGGAAATACCACAGAGGGTCAACAAAACTCTTCTCCTTGCTTACTCACCAAAGGGAAGCAAACATTTTAGGAAGAGTTCTTCAAACACCCGACAAAAGATGACATCGACAATGGCATAATATTGCCAAGATGATTATAAATAATAATTCTCACATTTTTTAGCAGTAATGACAAAGCCAGTTAAATTCATTTCTGTATCTATTGATTCTTGTTTTCTGTTGTCCTTTCATCTACATGGGTGACTCTTTCCCCAATTAAATGACATTATTTTTCCTACCTGGAAGAGGAAGGGGCTATTTTGGCTTTTGCCTCTCACTCCCTTTTTCAGGCTTTCTCAGATCCTGCCACCCTGCCATTGACATTAGGATCCTGTGGCTTTCCTTTTGGCACCAATGCAAGCTGTTTCATTCTCCACGGTGAGACAGTTATCAAAGAATGTGAGTCACTCAGGGACCTAGAATGCCATTCTTCCAGGGAGCATTAACTATTGAAATAAGATATATCCTGTGCTTTGTTGGGTAGCTGAAATGTTTCTTCAGAGCCTCTGAATCTTATTTGCAAAGTTATCAAAGAAGTAAGACTGTGTTTTAAATTAATAAACACTAATTTCATTTAATTAATAAACATCTGCTGGTTATTGAATGACTACTATGTACCAGGCCTGTTATAAGCATTATTAATTCACGACCTATGAGGTAGGAATTATTATTCCTATTTTATGGAGGAGGAAGCAGAAACTCATTAAAGGAAATTATCCAAAGAGCTAGTAAGCTGCAGAGCTCAGACTCAAACGCAGTCCTACAGTCAGTGTTTTTACCCAATTCTACACTCCACCACCCTGCCTTCCCTCACAGAACTATCACGGACAAGGAGGGAAGGAGTTGGAGCAACTCAAATTTTTATTCTTTCCCAATGTATTTTTGTGCTCCAGCTTCAAGGAGGCAATATCTTAGGTACAGAGGTTGGGATCGGGCAAAACCAAAGGGAAAAGTGATCTCCCTTAAGCATATTCACTTGGCTACGGAAGGGAAAAGCATTCAAATATTGGCCTCGTCAGGCCTATACTTAGATATCAGCCTGCTTGATTTGTGTAGAGGATAACACTGGCCTCGAAATGCTTTGGACTCCCCCATTCTCCACTGCCCAACAGATCTGGGAAATGTTGAGTTGGCAGCTCCATCACCTTTCCACAAAATTTTCAAATTTGTATCACGAAGTGCCCCGAAATGTAATATTTACTTTTTTTCACAAGGCTCTTCTTTTTTTAAATTT